GATCTCATGGTCACTAAGGTTCCAGGCACCCATTTGCCGTTTAAAAGATATTCTGAATAAAAAGATTTTGAGGAAAAGGGAACAAAGTGAGTTTTTTAAAAAATCTAATTGATTTATAATACAATACAAACTAAACTTCCTAGTTTAGGACAAATCCCTAAGTGTGCTGTTAATCCCCTTAAAATAGAAAAAACACTAGCTCATAACTATGATTACAGAGAAGGGAGGTAACTATGAAGGTAAAGGATTTTATCAGTCCTAGGAGAGTGGAGATCTGAGCAAATTGAGAGAAGCCAAAGAGTGGGCCTAGTGGGAGAAAGACCACAATGGGGTAAGGAGGAAAGCAGACAGAAAGTGGTCCATGAGATTGAGCAAGTAGAAAAAAGGCCCGAGAACCTGCTCTAAGGTAGGATGAAAAGTAGTCAGTTTAGGACAAGCAAAATCTGGCCTCACAATCAACAAGTGTGAGTTGGAAACACTGAAAATACGAGTTGAAAAAAAAGCATGTGAACAGGATGCTGGCTGGAAATGATCTCTCCATGGGCCTGGAACAGCATCAGAGTGAACAGCAGGGCGAGGTACCGAGGTGATAGATAGTTTTAGCAACATTTCCAAACATTGATACCACCTTCTGGAGTTAGAACCAACGTTGTACAGAAGCCAGCCACTCTGTAAGACACGCTCCGTACAACACTGAATACTTATCCTGTGTGCTGTCAAATTTAAAAACAATATTTAGCAATGTATGATTGCAATGAAAAAATGCTACAAAAAGTGTTTTAAATAATGGAGTAATGCCTCTCCCTCATGCCCTGTGCAGGTTAAAGAAGCTTTCAGGGACACTACTTGTTTTGAGGCAAGCAGCATCCTCTGAATTCCTTGGTGATTGCTACCTTACATCAGGCTTCAGTATCTATCCTCCTTAATAAAACATTGTGAACAGCTTCAGGTGTGATTGCTGTGTATCCTTGCTGTCCCAAAAGATTTCACATCTTTGACAGGATGGAAATATTTTTGAAAACTAGTACTTCTGCCTGCAGTCTAGAATCAGAGAAATGTACCAAGCCACAGAATATTTCTTATTATGGAAAATTCTGATCAAGCTTACTTGTATTTTTGGCTAGGTGCCTAAACCTTGTTCTAATGGGAGTTGATCCTTTCAACCCAATGTTAGCAAGCTATCTTATAATATAATTTTTAATCTGTAGGGTTCATATTTAAGACACGTATAACATCTATAAGAGTAATTTATTTACAATTTCAAGTTTTTTTTCCACTTATATTTACATTCAATTCATCAGTCAATAAATTGCACTCTGTAATTTCAGTAACTTTGACTTGGAGCCAGTGTGACATTAAAGGTGAAGCACCTTGTGGCAGGGTATCCCACACTTTCACTCCTCACCACGACAAGGTAGATTGAAAACTGTTCCATCCTGTGTTATTTTTTCCAGATTATTAACTAAATTATTAAATGTTATAAAATTACAGTAACAATGCTATTCAATGCAGGATATCTACACATTTGGAGGATCTTACACTTGCCAGGGGAGCAGCAAAACAACGTTAAATGATGTTGTGAAATTGAGCCTTGGTAAGCGCCTGGTTGATACAATTTTATGATTAGTTTATTTCAAACCTAATTACTTTGATAAGGAGCCTGAACCTGAAGAATGTCACTATTTAAATTGAAGTCCAGAAAAGGTGGCTTGTGCAACTATCAGACAAAGTTACAATACAAAAAACATTAACTTTGCGCTGGTGTTTTTCTCCACATGAGCTAATATAATTTACTACTGCTCTCCTGCTCACTCCCTGAACCCTTTAGTATGCATCCTTTCCAGGCATCAATCTAATTTTCTTTTGAAAGAATTTATGGTCTCTGCTTCAAAAATGGTTTGCATTGCAGAGAACTCCCCATTTTGACCATCCTCGGTGTATAGAAATATTTTTCTTGCCTTCCCATTTATCCTATCTTAAACGTGTGGCCCCTTGTTACTCACACGCAGACCAGTGGAAACAATCTGTTACTATTTACCCTGTCATAACCCTGCATAGTTTGCGTGTGAGCACATTTCTGTGAATGAAACACAATACAATATTCTAATCCCTGAAACTGCTGCTCATTGGAGACAGGCTGTTTGTGGTGCTTCACAAACTGAAGTGATTGGGAATGGATGAGTGCTGGTGTCATGAGATGACAGAATGGGAATTCAAACTTTAGATTTCCCACGTGAGGTAATCCTCTGATTGTCTGGAAAATTACCATTGTTTCCTCAGGTTGGAACGGCTACATTTTTCTGACCAGCAAAGAATAGGATCTTATCCCCCTACTGGTAAACATGTAACAGCCATAGAATTGTAGGATAATAATCCTTGCATTTGATATAGCGCCTTATCACATTGTCGAGACGTCTCAAAGAGCTTCATAGAACATATACTGGAAAGAGGATTGACTATGTATTAAGTGGGATACCTCCTTAGTCAACAGGCCCCTGGTTACAATATACATCAATGGTACAATTTGTTTTCAGTTAAGTAGATAATAGATAAATAATACAAATATGTTAAAAACTGATTTGAATGTTCAGAGCATGTGGCTGTACAAGTCAATAAAGTTTTCTCCTGCCAATTTTTTCTCTACATTTTCCTCGTCTGAAAGAGTTTGATGTACTCCAAAGGACATGGAATCACCCCCCAGTACTTCGTGCAAATGGCCATCGAGCCTTGATAGTGATTGGCAGCTAATAACGGTAACCAAAAGAGGTATCATAGGTGATATTACAATTTCCAAAAGGAGTCTCTGGGTAGGAGCAGGATTCCTCATTGATTTTGCCCTCCTTAATTCAGGGGCTCTGAGGTCCATTATTGCTTCTCAGTTGCTCGGCTGTGATCAGCTAACCTAGAACCAACCAAGTTATGATCCTGTAACCTTCTTGTCTGATTGATCCGTTCTGATCGTTGCACTGGGCATTCGTCTTTCCCCAGTCGACGACTAAATCAATATCTGAAATCGAAATACTCAAGGTGTGAAAATCCTTTTCTTAGCCTTAGGATCATGCATTGTCATGCAGAAGTTTGGAAAATGTATTTTAAGAACTATGGAAATCGGCTTTCAAATTAAGACTGAATTCAAATTTAAAGTTAAGGTTCAAGACATTGGTAATAAGACATCAGAATTTGCAGGCCTCAGTTTCTTTTGTGCAGTCCATTTTAGGGTTTAAATGATGGCCTATTTTAAGAGGTACAGCAAATATTTTTCAATCCCTGCAAAATGCTTTGAGACAATTTCTTATGTGAAAAGCCCGAATCACACGTTGTTGTTGGTGTTGTTTAACACTGCTTATTTTGCAGCAAAAATGAAATGGAAGGTGCCTTTATACGTTGGAATTTCCCCTGCATGCAGGCACAACCATGCAGCATTTATTCTTCACAGTCATGTGAGTACATTGACCGACTATTTGTAAGATTCTTTCCTTTCTTTTTCTTTCAAAATCTCTCACAATCACCAGGGACTGCATGGGAAGGTCAAATTAGCCCTTGTCTTTCCCTGGGTCTGAAAGCTTAAATTCAACTGGATTATAGTCCCTCTTCACCACCATGCACATGTATAACAACCAAGTGAAGATAGAAAGGCACTTTGACAGCTTTTTAAGCACTTTGAGATTGCCTGCTCCTGAAAGGCACTGTATAAATTGTATTGTACTGAGTAGCTACCAACACTCACTTCAAGTCTACATGGACAGGGTAATCAGTGCATTGGAACTGACCTCTGTATGAGGAGGTGTACGCCAATGGAGAGAAAAAATATTTTAAATACAATTGCTTTCAATGAGGAGGATGGGGCTCAGATTTTTTTTAATCTCCCTCAGTGATTCTGAGGTTCTTGTTTTTAACTTCAGAAATGAGTCTTCATTTTTTATTTATTTGTTGTTTGTCAAGATTGTGTTCCAATGTTGCCAGTCCAGACAGAAAGACCACCTTCAGTGAGCAGAGCTCAGTGGTGTTAGTGAAGTGATCACACTGGTGTGAGCGTTACCCATTTGACATGGTTTACACAGTGATATAAGTAACTTAATAGAGCACATTATGTGCTCAATGCAATAAAAGCTACACTAGGAGATCGGTTTCAACTTACACGGTAGCAGTGTTTAGTGCAATCATTATGCAGCCTGGGAACTATTTTGGATCTGCCTCCCCTTTTACTTATGGCCCTCATTGGGACTCCAATGAATTTCATTTCAGTCAATGTCCCACAGCAACTGTGTTGTTCCCTCATCTTTGCTCTTCAGAAAGAGAAGATAAGGAATGCAACTTGGAGGGTGAAAAGGCCCAATTAAGTTTTAATTCTCTCTTCCATTGGATATTTACTTGTAGTGATAAGTTTGAAATCAAGAACACAGTGTGTGGGGAGTGACCAATGAAGGCCAAGATTGCTCAAGCAACAACAATATCTTGCATTATATAGCACCCTTCACGTGGTTAGCACCTTGGAGGGCTTAACAGCGGAGTTGTTTATCACTGAATTGGAAAGAGAAGGGACGTGACCGAACATTCGGTCCAGGAGGAAACTATTCAGGTGTGATCTGAAGACAGGCAAAGAGGGGGCAAGATGGAAAGATTGAGGCAGGGAGTTTCAGAGATTCGAGGAATAGTGACTGAAAGCACAACTGCCAATTGCGGAGCAGAGGGGACAAGAGACATCCATAAGACCTGAGCCAGCTGAACAAAGGTGGTGGGTGTGAGCAGATCAGAGAGGTAGGGATATACCAGGGCGTGAAGTGATTTGAAAGTGAGAATGCCGATCTTGAAATCAATCTGTACTACAATATGGAGCCAGTGGAGCCAGGCAAGATGCCAGAAGCGATGGGATTGTGGAGCTTGGTACGGGTGAGGACAAAACCATTAGCGGAGTCATAATGGGGGTGGTGGGTCAAGTAGGACTTAACCTGAACAGGAAGGTTGCATTGAAGTGGATGAAGGGGAGGTGAAGAGGAGAGATGGTTGAGGTGGATGGCATGGCCCATTGTGTCAAAAGCAGTGGAGAAGTCCAGGAGGACAAGGAGACAGAGGTATCCCTAGTCGCAGAGAGAGAGGTCATTTGTAACCTTGACAAGCAAGATCGTCCATCTAATTTTTGGTATATCTCCACAGATTTCTTAATATGAAATACATGATTATCAATTTTCTAAAAACTTAAATGGCCTGAAGAACATTTCTCAGCATAAACAATGCTTTTGAAATTTGATAACCAAGCTGTTCTTATTAATAAATATATTAAGAAATTCCACAAATTCAACCCTTTTCGATGAGATTGTAGCTCTTGGTAAAACATGGGGAGAATTTCCCTTTGCTGTAAAGTGTGATGATGATCTGCATTTAAAACGAGATTTCAAGCACATGTCACTTAATAATGAGAGGAACTTTATTCTGTTGGATGTGAAAGGTACTATATAAACGCAATTTGTTATTGTTGTTGAATATTTTTCAATAACTGGATGACCTTGATTTAATGGGTGTTCCATTCATAACACTCATAATGGCAAGAGGTATTTGCATCTAAATAACTCTCAGCAAATAGCACAGAGTCATTACTTTTTAAGATTGAATATCATGCCATTGCCATGATAAGTATATAAATGGAAATGAAAGAAAGACTAACTTGTGCCTAACTTTTCTTCAGCTCTACATTTTTGGTGGAGTCAATGAAGAGGAAGAATTCAATGATATAAGGGTGATGAAGTTAATAAATCCATCTGACCGTCAGCCGAGTAAGTCTCCTTGTTGTGATGGGAATGTTGAAGTACCAATATGTCAAAACTAAAATGATTAAAATCGCCAAGCTAATTCATAATTGTAAGTAGGCATTCTGCCTCATTGAGACCTATTTCATGCTCATCATTAACAATAGCAATATTTCAGAATGATTATAAAGATGCTTGCTATAACACTTATTTTACGTTAAAGCTCATTGACTTAGAAAAGCCCCTGAAATTGTTTAATTTATCAGTGATTCATTCCCCTTGGGCAGCCAGCTATGATATAGCTATGTCTATTTTCACTAACAAAATGAAAGATTCTACTTTAACCTTTCAAACTACTGCACCAAAAGAAGCAAATAATAATATTATTAATTCAACCAAATATGGGAGCTTTACAGAATGAGAATGCATAGATCTTGTTTACATGATCACATCTACACAATTTCGAGCAAAAGTCCCCAGATATGGTAGTAACCCATTATTAAGCCATTTACTGATTTTAAACATTAGTGTGTTAGAGAGGGGAAAAAAAGGATCAATATGTTTTGTAAATTCTAATGTGGCCCATCTATGAAAGATTACAGTCCTTTGTGTTGTCAACATTTTGTACAATTATGCACATCACTTTTTTTTTGCATAAACGAAACCCAGAATAATATTTTCAGATGCAACAAAACAGTTGAACAAGAGGACATAGGTACAGAATTGCAAAGGACAATTTTAGTAAGGACTCTGGGTATTTCTTTATCCAGGGGGAATTAATGAATGAAACAAGTTTAAAGGGAAGGGTGGCTGAGGCCAGGAGGCTGCACTCATTTAAAAATACAACTTGGTACAGTGATGGGAAGGTGATGGGGTCAGTATTCTGGAAGGATGAGACCAAATGAGCCAAAGAGCTCTCTTCATCCAATCCAACCGTGTCATCTTCAAAACTGATGCCCATCACTTCCCAGCCATAAATACGGAAAAATGTACGTGGTATGACATAACTTCATGTAGAGTCTTTTTTGGAACAGTTTGTTTCGAAATAAATTGAAATGATCACACATCCCTCAAAGGAGATAAGTCTGCTTGGTGATGAGAATATTTTCTTCTTAAAAATAATAGTTGCCATAGAGACCCACATTGACGTTTAGATTTTGCTTCTCCCACTTTGGAAGTACACGCTACAGTTCTCTTGCTGGGCCTGAAGGACAATAAGTCAAGCCAACAGGAGGCTGATACAATATCTGGTGACTGTAATGTAATTCTCAAGGTCTGCTGCTCGCTGCATTGTGCGGAAGATTCCAAACATGTGCAAGTGACTTGCACAGTGTTACAGTACTGACCTTGAGGAGCTCAGATACAGCACCAGCCAGAGAGACATGATACCCGTGCAATTAATAATTACATCTGATCTCTATCATTGCACTAATCCTTTAAATTCAATCAATATGCACTTTTTATCACATATTTTTTTTTAAAATTTAGGCTGATGCATTTATTGGTAAATATACTGTCTTTGAATGCTACTGGTTGCTAATTAGCAGACCTTGGCAAGTGAGTTTAATGGGAAAATCCCAAATGTGAACTTGCATGCTCTGTAAAGTTACTGACAGGTGGAGAATACTGACATAGAGCCATCTGTAACAGTGTGTTTGAGGACAATGAATCTTATTTATTTCAACAAATTAGGAAACAAGGATAACTTAGATGTACAATGTTGGACCTTTGGCTATATTGGATTACATGATGAACCCTGTAATATTATCTAGTTATTGATTTTGTCTTTATTATGGATCATTAAGTCTTCTATGATGTTTCTTTTTTTTCTTTCAATTGCTCCCCTCCTCTCTTATGTGGAGTCCTGTAGCTTGGTGGTTAGAGAACTCGCCTCGCAAGCAAGAGGTTCCGGTTTTGATTCCCGGTAGGGCGAAACCTTAGGCCAGTTACCTTACGCCACAAGCCTCTGTTTACCTAGTAGCAAGTAGGAACCCAATTATTAGTCGATTGGCAGATCGCTTCCGGGGATAATGATTCTTCCCAAAGACATTTTTACTATAATAATAATTTGGTCACTCAATCCACGACTGTTTGCGGGACACTGCTTTGCGCAATTGGCTGCCAAGTTTCTCCCACAAAATATACAGTCAATTAACTTTACAGCATTGTATATTCTCTGAAGCTCTTGAGGCATCTAAATAACTTGATAAGGCGCTATATCAAATGAAAGGATTATTATTATTATAATTATCATAGCGCTGATTCAAACTGAGGAGCACCTTACTCAAGTGGTCATTCTTAGTGTGTGGACCTAGACAGGATGTATCTGCAGGATATTCAGCAACTTAGACACCACAGCTTATCCCATATCCACTCACGTGCGCTTTTGGCACGTGTAACTAGTGTGGGATCCTGCCGTCTAGGAGGAAGCTGTTACATGGCAAGATGTGACATAATGCCTAGAGATGATGGGACATTGAAAGCATCGATGGGAACACTCGAGTGAGAAAGCTCCAAAAATAGAGCAAACTAAACTCTATATATTAGAGAATAATAATATTCAGAGCATCTTTGTGGCTGTAACAGTGCTGGAGTTCGTTGTACTTGCTCAAACTTTCCTATTGCTCTTTGCTATGCCAATCATCGCCTAAGTGCACAACCTTAACTATTGCTGTGTTTCCCCTCTAAGATGCTCAAGTTTTCAAAGTGGTCAATGTGTTCTGAGAGTATGAATTATTGTTTCTGTTTTAATTTCAGTTATGAAAGAGATTCTCTCAGAATTTGGCATCCATGAAGTCAGCAATAGGTAGGTGGCGTTCATTTCATTGCATATTAACTTTGCTGTTTAGTAAGACACCGCTTTACCTTTAAATCAGCATCCCGTGAACATGAAGACCAATGAATAACACAGTCTACAAGGGGAAATTCAATGCTTTGTGTGGCCATAGAGACCGGTGGCAGTTGAGGGGTTCAAAAAACCAGACCCGTGTACTAATCATAAATTCACTTATTCATTGCACATTTTAAGTCGCTCCACCACACATTCTATGTGCTATTCTCACCCCTTATGCCTTAAGTCTGGTCTTAAAGGCCTTTTCCCCTTCCTTGAATCGAGAACTTCCTTATGCTCTGCAGGCAACAATAATAATCCTTGCATTTGGTATAGTGCCTTTCATGTCAGGAGGATGTCCTGTAGTGCTTCACAGGATTTTTGTGAAATGGAGTGACTGTATATTTGTAAGCGAATGCAGCAGTCCAATTGCACACAGCTATGAAACAAATGACTAATTTTACGGATACATGTTTTCAATTAAAAGTATTTTGTGGCTTCAGTTTCTGTTATAGCGGCTGTTAACCAGTTGTTTCGTTCAGAGCAGTAGAGAGACCTGTACAAGTAATTATAACACGCCCAACCTGGTTCTGCAAACATAATTCAAGTCTTGAAATGTCTTTTATATTTCTTGAAGTCTGCTTAGAATTCATGCTGATCACAGTTAGCTCTCCACCGATTGCCTTGTCAGTTTCAGTCAGTCTCAGGGCTCTTTCGGTCAGATTGGCCCGACTGAGGAGCAGATTCAATTACGAGTAACACAGAAACAACAGGATTTTGAGAGGAAATCATTACAGAGGTTCAGAGCTTAGTTCAGCACCAGATTCTCATCAGGAAGTGCAGCTGCACCAGCCTAACCACAGTCAAACCAAGAGTGCCCTGGTTCTGCTCCATGCTCTGCCTGGGTGCTGACTGTGTTTGTTGATCAGATTCACGCTGCGCCTCATTTAATCTGATGCAGCAGTCTCAAGGTCGCAGACGCATGCACTCTTTGCAGTTGGAATTCAATATTTCCTCAATGTATGTTTCATAGATTCATAGAAGATTCATAGAATGTTACGGCACAGAAGGAGGCCATTCGGCCCATTGAGTCTGTGCCGGCTCTTTGACAGAGCAAGTCACTTTCACTAACCCCAATCACCAGCTTTCTCCCCATAACCCTGCAAACCCGTCTTTCCCAGATACCTATCCAGTTATCTCTTAAAAGCTGTTATCGAGTCGGACTTCACTACCCTTTCAGGCAGATCATTCCAAATTCGAACAACTCGCTGAGTGAAAAGCTCTCCGTGGATTGGGAGAGCACAAAGTAGAAATCAAGCAAGTCTTACATCTTCCATTGCCTAGAAAAACCCTGCACAGGGTAAAAGATGTGTGCTGAGGTTTAACACTATTTGATCTGTTATTAAGGGGGTGGGGCTGGGGTGGGGTTAGTGGCAGAATTCCATCATGTGATATTATCACAGGTGAAAATGATCACATCCACCAAAAATATTTTTTTTCTTGCATTTGGTATAGTGCCTTTCACATCAGGAAGATTGTCTCAAGCTCTTCACAGGATTTACTTAAAGTGAAGAAACTGTGTATTTTGTCGGTGAAAGCGGCAGCCAATTTGCGCACAGCAATGTCCCACAAACAGCCAAAGTGAATAACCAATTTTATTTGAGGAATTGTTGGCCAGGACACTGGGAGAAACTCCCTTCTTTTTTCAAATAGTCTCATGGGATCTTTAACGTCCTCCCCTAGCACCGCATTGGATTGTTAGCCTTGGTCACGACTTCAAAGGCCCAACATAGGGTTTACATAAGAACATAAGAAATGCTAGAATAAAAAAATACCAAGGTCCATCTAGTTCGCCTTCCACCTTCCTGGTGGTCGCATGCACACATGTCCCAAGCTACCCAAGTACTATATATCATAATGTTATTTTCTAAAAGTTATCTAATCTGTGTTTGAAAGAATCAACACTTTCTGCTTCAACCGTATCCCTAGGGAGCCTGTTCCACAGGTTTACTATTCGCTCACTGCGTAGATTCGTTCTGAATTTACCCCCCTTCAATTGCAGGCCTTGTCCTCTGGTTTTACTACTCTGAACACGTTGAAACAGCCTTTCATGATCTATATTGTTTTACCCCTTTAGAATCTTATAGACAGCAATCATATCTCCTCTCAATCTTCTCTTTTTCAGCGTGAACATGCCCAATTTACTTAGTCGCTCCTCATAGTCCAGTCCCTCCATTCCCTCATTTTGGTTGCCCTCCTCTGTATCTACTCGATTTCTCCAATATCCTTTTTGTACTACGGCGACTAGAACTGTACACAGTACTCTAAGTGTGGTCTCACTAATAATTTATACAGTGGTAGGATTGCCCCACTATTTTGGCTTGCCACTGTATAAATCTTTTGATACATCCCAACATCTGGTTTGCTTTACTCACTGCCACAGAACATTGTTGGGAGAGCTTCGATTTATTGTCAATCAGAACCCCCAGGTCCTTTTCATTTTCCATACATATTGTTTTCCTTCCATTCAAATAATAGTCCCTTCCAGGAATTTTTGTCCCCATTTGAAGTACTTTACATTTCTCCACATTGAATTTCATCTGCCACCGATCTGCCCAATTCCCATTATGTTCAAATCCTCCATAACCTATCTTGTTTAGTTTCGCAATCTACCACCTTCAATAGCTTGGTGTCATCTGCAAACTTCGCCACTGTGTTTGTGACTCCTAGTTCCAGATCATTTATAAAAATATTAAACAAAAGAAGTCCCAAAACAGACCCTTATGGAACTCCACTAGTAACATTTTGCCAGTCTGATGACAATCCCTGTACCACCACCCTCTGGGTTCTTCTGGTAAACCAGTTGAATATCCATTGTAATTATACCTCCACTGATTCCCGCTTTCTTTACTTTCAGTACCAGCTTCTCAAGAGAAACTGTATCAAAGGCCTTACTGAAATCCAGATATACAACATCCACAGCCTTATCCTTATCAAGCTCCCTTGTCACACCGAAAAAGAAAAACAGTAAATTAGAGAGGCAAGACCTCCCCTTCATGAACCCATATTGGCTATCATTTATGATTTTATTTCTGTCCATGTGCTCCATGATTTTATCCTTAATAAGTCTCCATAATTTTACCCGCAATGGACATCAAAATTACTGGTCCAGTATGTTTCAACCCACAAATCCCTCACTCAAAAAGTTAACTTTTAAAAAGTTAAAATCATGGGTTGCACATGTGTTAACACTATCTATTGGTACAGGGTAGAGCACAACCTGAACCCAATATTTAGTCCATATGGTTTATTCTGTATAGTGTGGTGGATGCTGGTGCAGAATTCCATTCATGTGGTTCAATCTATAGATTGCAGTGGCAAGGCTTTCAGTTCAGTTCCATGACCAGATGTACCTATTAACTGGGTTTCCTGTGTTTATAAGAGACAAATTACAGGCAAAGCTGGATATTTGACACTGGATTTGTGTTAATGCCAAAGGCTTTGCCAACATATTTTTGTCTCACTCCTGAGTGCAGGTAACAAACACGAGTGTGATTCTTGGTTAAACAGACTGACCTGTTTAACCAAGAAAGGCTCACACATGAACAATGGCCATGTGCAGGGTACCAGAGAGCAACCATAGCCATGGAACTACTTCACAGAAAGGGGAAGATGGGGACTGCGAGCAGAGAGGCCAATGCCAAAGGAGAGAAAATTAGAAAAAGAATTTGGCATCATTTTTTTAAAAAACTAAAAAACAGTTGGAGTTCCTGGTTCACTCCACTCAGTGACATTTTAGGTGTGAAGATATGAGAGTGAAGAGATGGACTAGTTGTTGTGGAATCAAGTAATTCTTAAACATTTCTGTATAAGTTACTTTAGTGTGAAAGGAACTTTGCTCCATGTAATGTTTGTTAATCCAGAACACAGTCTAGATTCACTAGTTCCTTTATTTAAACGTTACACTTCCACAATCTGCCCAGTCACTTTCTCAAGAATTATTTTATATTTGCTTGCTTCTCATTGTCAATGTCCAATTGCCAATTAAGTCATTAAAGCAACATTGCAACACCACAGGCAGTTGGGAGTGTTTTGAACTTGCACATTTCCCATTTGACTTTTGAAACAAAAGAGCAGCAGACAGGTACTCTCCCTCAGGAAAGGCAGATCATGAGTTAGCTTGAGTTACTTTTCACTTTTGTTTTTTGGACAGTCTGACACATGCAGAAACCCATCAACATCCTTAGGAGTATCCAGACCAGACAGAGTTGCATGCATGCCACCTATACATGGCAATACGTATATCTAGCATGCAATAAGCACTCTTCCCCCAGAAAGATGCACCTGCTTACCTAATTCCAGAGAATATTAATTGCAGGTTGGCAAGAGCCAAGGCTTGGGGACCCCAGAGTGTGTGGTACTGGTGGTGTTTAACCATCTAAAACTGCAAATTTCACCCAAATGTTAGTAGCTTTTCACCAACTAACTTAGTGATTAGCTGAAGAGAGGACTAAGAGCAGGTCACTTAATCTCTCATGGCTTAGAATCCTTTGTGGTATGTACAGGAAGAGCAACCTACAAGGTGAAGGAAATAAATATTGTTTCAATTATTGTTGAAAAGTCAATTTATCCAAATGCAGCATGAAGCAATTGGTCCCACTTTAATTTGTCAATTAAGAAGGTGAAAATTAAGAAACAAGAGAGGCGAAAATTGTGATGTGTTAACTAACATTATGGTACATAGTTAAATTAATGCACAAGGGTGCACATGTAAATTGCAACAGAGTTGGGAGTGTTTTGTACTTTCACATTTCACATTTGTTTTTGTTTAGTTAAGATGATATCCCATCCCAGCCAGTGTTAACAAGATATCAGTTTAACTAAACAAAAACAAAGTAAAGCTGATGTGATATCTGACTAACTGGCAGTCCAGTGCCCTTGAGCCTTGAGACAGAAGTTCAATTCACACCACAGCCAGCTTCTCACAGGAACTGTGGCGAAGGGAATTGGTGGTGGAGATGGGGGCACATGGGGCACACATGGGAACCATCCCATGTTCCAATTATCATATCACAAATTTTCATGCATGTGTTAAGTAACACATAACAACATGGCAATTTTGTCCCCATATATTCCGTGTTTCTTCTGTTTATCAGAACTGAAAGTTCCTGCCTGTGGCTGCTAAGTGTGATCAGGTTACACTATTTTCCTCATGGGCTTTGGATAGCTTGCATTATGTCAATTCCCACAGTATGGTGTATGGGGAGGTAGGTGGGGAACCGGAGTGTCACGGGGGAAGCAGTTGACGCCAATCATAGTTGGTAAAGAAAACAAATCGACTTCATTAGGCTCTACTCCAATAGATCAGATAAACTGTGTGTTGAAGCACCCACAGCAAAGGATGGCAGCTCCCTGTACCCCAATCTCATGGTTTTCTAGATGTGGGAACACTTCTTAAATTTCTTCTTGGTTCCTCCCAAGGACCATCCACAGGAGTCCCTGACCTTCTGCAGGAGAGCCTGGAATTATCTCAGCACTGCTCCAGCTGCAATACACATTCAGCAGTTCTCAAATAGTGCCCCTGGATTATTACCCAGTGTGTGCCAAATTCAATACCAATCTTGTGTCCAAGGCGACTCATTGAAAACATATTGCTTCATGGTCTCAGCTTTGTTCAATTGGTTCCACTATCGCCTCTGAATCAGGGATTGTGGGTTCAAGCCCCATGTTAGGACTTGAGCTCACAGTTCATGCTGACACTTCAGTGAGGTACTGGGGGAAGCATCACATTGAGAGAGGAGCTGTCCTTCAGCTAAGATGTTAAACTTTGGTCCCAAAGGATCCTTTGGTACTATTCGTAAACAAATAATAATCCTTGAATGAGATGTTAAACCGAGGTCCTGTTAAAGATCCCATGGTACTATTCCAAAACAGAAGGGAATTTCTCCAGGTGTCCTGGCCAACAATCCCCCAATAAAATTGGTTACTCACTCCATGGTTGTTTGTGGTACATTGTTATGCGCAAACTGACTGCTGCAATTCACCCTTCCCTTTCTGAATAATGCCAGGACACAGGGAGAAACTCCCTCCTCTTTCCAAATAGCGCTATGGAATCCACCTGAACAGGCAGACGGTGTCTCAGTTTAACATTTCTTCTGAAGGATGGATGAGGTGCCAGATGATGAGATTGGGGATCACACCAGTGTGGGGAGGAGGAGAGAACTACATATGAAACCAAAGCCCAATAAAAGCAAACCCCTTCAGGAGAGCGGAGGAAGGGACAATAAGGAAGAAAAAAAACAGCTAGATTCCTGCAGCGTGATTCATAGGTTTGTCCCACTGAATAATTTTTCAGACACTTATTTAATGTGTTCCTTCATGCTTTCATACTGGTGTGCTGCAATTATTTGTGAGCAACAAGTGAGGAAATGGCTTCATGCTACAGGAAGCTTAAGGGGCCAATTTTCTCCCCCAGTTTCCCAACCACAAACAACCAGTAGAGACAACAGCACCTCAGTCTGTTGGGAAACCCAACTCCAATTAATTGCAATTAAAAAAACAAAATCTGTAAATAGGAACATCACGTCAGTGTCGCATCTCTCCTTGGTGGCAACGTGAACGGACAGGAATATGAGCTTTTGCATTCCCCCTCCCCACTCCTGACACAAGAAAACCCTTATTGTAGCACTTTTCATGCTCCATTGATGCCGTTGATAATTGAGGTTCCAGAGCAGCGTGTTGCCCCCACACCACCCCTCCCTCCCACCACCGGAGACAGAAATGAGATGCGAGGTTTGTACAATGCTTTATTTTCGTTCATCATCTACGGCTCTCACAAGTTCCATGAAAATTAAAAAAATTACTCCTCTTAACTGTGGAGGTGTACTTCTGGTGCTGTTTACGTAGTTAAACTGGAGATTTTATGACTTGATCATCATCAGGTTGTTAAGGCCTTTGGAAATTTAAAAGAAGCTCTTTGGGTGGCTTGGTTGTGTAAAAGCACTGGTTGGTGAGCACTCAGCCACACTAATAGAAGGGAGGCAGTATTGTATCTTAATCTGGGGTGAGCTGCCTGATCTCAATTGGGGCAGCAGTTAAGACATTACCTGGATTAGAGCAGGGAAAAATCAGCCTGACCTCAGCTTCTCTGCAACTTTTGAATTAGTCTAGCTTAAAGCGTTTTGATGTTAGACATGCCTGCTTATAATAGACTTAAATAACTGGCCTGTTATTGTGTGGGCTTGAGATGCCTTTATATGGTATTATCTTCATGGGTGTTTGAGAAGGAGCAATTCGTTGGGCCAATGTAATTAAACTCCTGAAAAATATCTTTTCCTAAAGGTTTTCGCCTACAAAGATCCCAAAGGTGAGATATGAATTGACAGAACTCCTGAGCAGCGCCAGAACAGACTCTCCACCCCAAGTACCAGTAAGTGAATCAATCCACTTTGTGGCACTTCTTCACAAGCTACTGGTTCTCTTCTACCCATCTCCTTTACTTCAGGATTAATAAATAGAGGTTTAAAGAAAAAGATCATTGGTTTGTAAAATTTGATATTATGTTTTACCTTAATTGGGTGTTATTTGTGAAACTATTTTGAGACCATGCAATGTTTGTAACATTCTTTTAGGAAATAGTTTCTTGGGATGTAATATATAGTTTGGAACATAACATGTGCATGCAACCGCCAGGATGGTGGAAGACAAACTGGACTGACCTTGGTCTTCTTTCGTCCAGCAATTCTTATGTTGTAATGTAAATAGCTACCACCTGTCTCATCCATCTTTGGCATAATGTTTATCATGTGGGATCCTGGGTTCGGGATTCCTGGGATTCCAACCCCTAAGCTCAAAGCACTTCAAGGATATGCTATCAAGTGTAGTGCCTGTGTATTTAGTGGATGAAGTGGCAGCCATGTTGCGCACAGTAACGTGCCACAAACAGCCATAAAGTGAATGACAATTGGGAGATTGTTGGCCAGGACATCGGGAGAAGGTCGGACACTTGGGCCCAGTGTAAAGTCTTGAAAAATATCTTTTCCTAAACGTATTGGGCAGGTATGAGCTAGCCAAAGAGAGTCAGCATGGATAAGGCATTTGTGAAGGGTAGGTCATGTCTGACTAATCTAGTTGAATTTTTTGAGGTGGTCACTGAAATGGTAGATAAGAGAGAGTCTATGGATGGCAGTTATATATAGGCTTTCAGAAGGCATTTGAAAAAGGTTCTGCACAAAAGATTATTAGCGAAAATAGAAGCGCATGGAGTCGGAGGTAACCTTGTGACGTGGCTTGGTGATTGGTTGGGAGACAGGAAACAGAGAGTAGGGATAAAAAGAACATTCTCTGATTGACAGGACGTGACAAATGGTGTCCCACAGGAGTCTGTACTGGGAACTCAGCTTTTCGCCATATATATATATAAATGACTTGGATGAAGGAATAGAAAGTTTTATATCCAAGTTTGCAGATGACACTATCTAATTGAATGGCAGAACATCCCTTCTTTTTTTGAATAGTGCCCTGGGATCTTTAACATCTACCTCGACAGACAGATAGAACCTCAGTATAACATTAGATCTGAAAGTCAGCACCTCTGACAATGCAGCACTTCCCCAGCATTGCACCTAGTGGCATCTTAGATGGTGCAAGTTTCGAGTTCCAATGCGGGGCTTGAACCCACAACCTTCTGACTCAGAAGTGAAAATTCTACTAACTGAGCCAGATGAATATTAATAATAATAATCCTTGCATTTGATATAGCGCTTTTCACGTCGGGAGGACGTCCCAAAGCGCTTCACAGAACACACTGTAAAGTGAATTGACTATATTTGTGGGCGAACGCGGCAGCCAATTGCGCACAGCAATGTCCCACAAACAGCCGTAGATTGAAAATGACCAATTTATTATTGTTTTGGGTTTTGGAGGGATTATTATTAGGTGTGTGGAGTCAGGAAACTTGCCCAAGGTTTTGCCTTGCCTGGAATTGAACTCAGGTCTCTCACTTGCAAAGCGAGTGCTCTAACCACTGAGCTACAGGACTCCACAGATGAAATGAAACCTGACAGGCACTGATGATGATGATGATGATGATGATAGAGCAGCCAGGAGAAACAATAACATGCTGAATGGGAAATATACAGCGAACATGGTATTTTGCATGGAACGCTTTTGCTGAAACTTTAACTGTTGCCTTTTGATAAAGATTGTTAATTGCAACAAATCTTTTATTATGCTGTAGATCAAAACAGTGTAATCTATACTTTAGCACAATAGAAATGTCAATTACTACAGTACTTGCAAAGGGGCATTCTCTGCAGCTTTAAAGTAAATTAATTCAAAAGTGAGTACAGCAACACTTTGAAAAAAATCCTCCCTCATGGTCAGGACAATGCCATAAATCATGACTGGTAGAACCCAGGCTACCAAACTCAGCCCAAACTACAACAATAACAACTTGCGTTTATATAGCGCCCTTCATGCAAGGTAGCATTCCTGGACCACTTGCCCTCCAAGCTCATTGGCCCGCGACAACAACAACAATTTACACATGTAGAGCCTTTTGCATTGGAGCATGTATCAGACAGTTTTACGGAGGCGAGGTGGGAGCCTAAGCTGGGTGGAGAATGGCTGTGGTGGTTAGGCGGAAGATGATTGAAGGTGCTGTCAGAATTCAGTAGGTTGTTTTCGCTGATGTCATGTTAATTAGCCCCTAAAAGGAATTATATGGAAATGGTCAGGAAAATACAAAAATAAGTGCAGATATTTCATGGTATTTTCTCGTCCGTTTATCAGTTCTGCTGAACAACATTGTCTACTTGACACAACAAGCAGGCTTCTCTACTGACTATGGGAGTGATGGACAATGAGCCACCGGTACCTTGGCAAGAGTGCTAAATGGAAAGAATTTATGCTGTGCCACATACCATTACCCATCTGAGAGGCCAGGCAGGCAACACAGGCAGCAGTCAGTGTTTTTCTGGAGAGGCTGTTTGGAAGGAACAGTCAATGAACTTTGCTTTCAGTTTACATTACCTGTACCTCCCTGTACATTATCAGTGCTATTTGATAGGACTCTAATGTTCTGAACTTTTTCTTTTGTCAGCCGAGTGTCTGACACGTGGAAAGCCATCACCACGCTTCAGAGCGTCCAACCCAAACTGAGAGTGGGCATGGAACTCACAGTTTGGTAATACGTTTCTGTATATGTCAGACACATGAATGACAAAAACAATTGTGAACTTGATGAATGAGAAATTGTGATTGTCCTCTCTGCTGCTGAAAACACACCAGAAAGGTGCTTTGCTGTATTTCCATCTATGCTGTATTTCTCTCTATGCTGTATTCCATGAAATCCCTTTATGCCTTTGCACCTCCCTACCTATCTGATTTGCTTACCTCCCACTCTATCACCTGCTGCCTCCGCTCGGCTGTCTCCAGCCTCCTGTTCTTCTCTCGCCCCCTCTGCTCCACCATTGGTGGCTGTGCTTTCAGCCATTATGCCCTGAAGCTCTGGAACACCCTCCCTTAATCTCTCTGCCTTGTCCCCTCCCTCCCCACCTTGAAATCCTAGCTAAAGACCTTCCTTTTTGATCGTACTTACAGTCACCTCCCCCTTCCCTCTCCCCCGGCTCAAGGTCAGACTCCGCAACTGTGGAGCACTCCAGGACACTATCCTGAGTGAAGGCGCTATATCAATGCAAGTTGTTGTTGTTTTAGTGTGTTTTTACTTATTCTGTAAATACTCTATTTATGTCTCTTTAGTAATCTTAATCCTTGCATTTGATATAGCGCCTTTCACATCAGGAGGACGTCTCAAAGTCCTTCACAGGATATACTGTAAAGCATTCTATCAGACTATATATTTTGTTGGGGAACCCTGCATTTCCACCTATTGTGTAAGATAGTATTTTAAAATGAGATACCACATTGAAAGCTTCTCATTTTAAAGCCAGAATTCTGTGTACGGCTGTGTTCAGTTTTCCTAGTAGTGGTTGGGATTAGCCTGTTATGTGCCTTGCCTTGATCTCTGATAACATTAGTCCAAAACAAGAAAGGGGAAAATCAGATGATAAGATCAGCTGCACTTACTGTCTACAATCACAGAGGGGGAAAAAGTCAAAAAACAAGTGACAGCCCACACTTACCACTGCCACCCAGTGGAAATTTACATTGGTGACGTTGATAGTACAGCTCATTATGACTGATTCACTATCTCTGGGTGAATGTTGCAGAACATACTACAATACTACTATTTAATACCATAGTTTTTTTAAAGAATCACTCTGTTAAAGCTCAGTTGAGCAAAATGAGAACGATGTAAAGTCCATGCATGGTTGGGTTAGTAATAATAATAATTATAATAATAGTATAGTGGTAGTAATAATAATAATCTTTGCATTTGATATAGCACTTTATAATCATCAAAACGCCTTGAAGCACTTCACAGTTTTTTTTACCGTATTCACTGTGTATTTTGTAGGTGAATGGAGTTAAAGTGGACATTTATTTATTTAAACTGGGCAGTTTTCCTTTTTAACTGTGAAAGTAGTCAAGAGGATGGGGGAGGATGCAAAACAAGAAAAGGAGAACAATGAGCAGTTTTGTGGAGAGAAAGATGGATTGTTTCACTTTTCAACACAGTGGCAACAAAAAAAACAGTTGTTTTCAATTGCCAGTGTGATTTATTATTCTACCCTCTTGCAGAAATGTGCATTCTATAATAATAATAGCACATTATCATATCTCAAAGTGCTCCACAGAATATATTGTAAAGTGAATTGACTGAGTATTCTGTGGGTGAAACTCGCCAGCCAATGGGCACAGCAATGTCCCACAAACATAGAATCATAGAATTATACAGCACAGAAGGAGGCCATTCGGCCCATCGTGTCTGTGCTGGCTCTTTGAAAAGAGCTATCCAATTCAATCCCACTTCTCCGCTCTCTCCCCATAGCCCTGCAAATTTGTCCTCCCAAAATAATTATCAACAGTCGTGGATTGAGTATCCCAAATTTTGGGGGGAGATTTATTATCCCCAGAAAGCAATCCGCCAACTGACTAACAACTGAGTTCCTATTTACTGCTAAGTAAACAGAGGCGTACAGAGTAAGGAAAGTTGCCTAAGGCTTTGCCCGCCTGGGAATCGAATTTGGGTCCTCTCGTTTGCGAAGAACTCATGTTGAACAAATCATAGTGCTTTGAGAAGTTTTGATGCTATAACAAGTCAGTGTTTGTCTTGCCCACTCTACTGCTTCAGCACTTTATGAGCTGAATGGAAAGCACCTTAGAGCAGTATAGGTTTGTTTCCTCCACTGATGCAGAGATGCCCAAGTATCTCCTTGTGATGAACTGGGCGGAATCACAAACTCACCAAGTCGGGATTCCGGGAGAACACAAAAAGATCACAAGTAGCTGCATAATAATATAATAATCATCCTCGCATTTGATATGGCACCATATCATGTCACCGAGATGTCTCAAAGCGCTTCACAGAATATACCATAAAGTGAATTGACTGTATATTTTGTAGGCGAAATGCAGCAGCTAATTGAGCACAGCAGTGTCCCACACACAGTCGTGGATTGAGTGATTATTAATTATAATTATTCTTTAAAGGGATTATTACTCCCGGAAGGTGATCCACTGATCGACTAACAGCCGGGTTCCTACTCACAGCGAGGTAAACAGAGGCGTGTGGTGTAAGGAAACTTTACACAGGTTTTGCCCTGTCCGGGAATCAAACCTGGGTCCTTTCACTTGCAAGGCGAGTGCTCTACCCAATACACAACAGTGCTACAGCGAAATAAGAGAAATAATCTGTCATTCAAATCAAATTCTACAATACAGCAAAAGTTTACTACCATTTTTCTTTTTTTTGTATTTGTAGGCAAGTGAACCCCGGGATCTGAGCTCTATTCACAAGCAAGCTGTGGAAATGATCACTCGTGCTTTTGCTATGCTGGACATTGAGTTTCAAAACCTGAACACGTATGTGATGTCAATGATGTTTTAGTGGAATTGTTGTGAGTCCAAAACTGACTTCAGTCATAGAGATAAATGCACTCAGATAAAAAGCCTAAAATTACTGCAGCTTGAACTTCTAAAATATACACAACTGTGTCAACCTGGCTCAGTTGGTAGCACTCTCACCTCTGAGTCAGAAAGTGGGTTCAAGCCCCATGTCAGGTCTTTGAGCTCACAGTCTAGGAGTGTTGCATTGTAAGAGTGTCGTCTTTCAGCGGTCTGATGTGACTGATCTATTAATTGAATTATTTTAATGACTGATCTATTAATTGAACAACAACTATTCATCCATCTTTCTGTCAAAAGGGTCTAATATATGACAATTTATAATGAGGCAGTCGTCCCTTCAAGGAGCAAGAAGCCATAAAAATCATGAAAAGCTTTAGAAACTCATCGGTCAGGAAACAGGGAGAAACTCCCTTCTCTTTTCGTATAGTGCCATGGGATCTTTAACATCCACCTGGACAGGCAGATGGGACCTCGGTATAACGTCACATTTGAAGGGCAGCGCCTCCAATAATGCAACAACCCCCAGCACTGTGTTGGAGTGTCATCTTAGATGATGGGATTCCAAGTCCGATGTGGGGCCTGAACGCACAATCTTCTGATTCAGAGGCTAGACGGTTACCACTACATAGGTTGACACACATAATAGTATTAGTTGAGCAAAACGGCCTGTTTCTCTGCTGTACATTCTGTGTAAAGGCCAGCAGCTCTGAAAATGCCATGATCCCCCAGCACTGTATTGGAGTATATATACTCAAGGCTGATACGCTTATAGCTCAGTGGTTAGAGCACTCGCCTCACAAGCGAGAGACCTGGGTTTGATTCCCGGCAGGGCGAAACCTTGGGCAAATTTCCTTACACCACATGCCTGATAATAATCCCCCAAGAAAAAAACAAAACAAAAGAAAAATATAATAATTTGGTCACTCAATCCACAACTGTTTGTGGGACACTGCTGTATGCAATTGGCTGCCGCATTTCGCCCACAAAATATACAGTCAATTCACTTCACAGTATAATCTGTGAAGCGCTTTGAGACGTCTCAAAGACATGAAAAGCACTATATCAAATGCAAAGATTATTATTATTATACAACCTCAGAGTCCCGACCTGTGGTTTGAATCCATAGGCTTCGGATTCTGAAACGTGAGTGCTACCAACTGAGGCAGGAGATTTGGGTCCTGAAATGAAAACATCAAATAACTGGTTTAAAAGCAAACCAGATCTACAAGTAAAACAAGTGGGGGAAAATTGAAAACTTTGCAAAAGCCTAAATTTGAGCAGTTTTGTAATAAACACTAGAAAAATGTTTCTGTTGTCATGTAAAACAAGGTACAGATTTACCAATAACATTCGTATTGTGTTTTATTATCACAGTGAGAAAACAGAACTTAATCAAGCTAGAATTGCTTTCCAGAAAGAAAAAGATGCTTATGATAAACAGTACAGAAGTCAGCAACAGGTGAGAGGAGCAGCAGCACATACAAAATTCTGTAACGCTGTGGATCAGTGACATAAGAATAATTGTGAGCATCTAATCTCATTTAAGTTAATGCATGACTACCCCAGCCCTCATCAACAAAAGTTGTCACATTTATGAAAATTGTATTCCTGCCTTGCAATTGACGAATTTAGGAGTGAACAGCGGACTCCGGCCTGCCTCCTGTCCCCCGCCTTGCCCGCCCCACCATTGGCGGGTGGGCCTTCAGCCACTTTGCCCCCACCCTCTGGAACTCCTTCCCGCAGGCCGTCCCACTCGCCACCTCCCTTTCCTCCTTCAAGACCTATCTCAAGACCCTCCTCTTCGACCATGCCTTCAATCACCCTCGTTCCCCCACTCTCCCCAATCCTGATCCCCAGCTCGGTCCGAAACACTGATTGTCCAATACCTTGGGACGTCCTCCTGACGTGAAAGGCTCTATACAGATGTAGTGTTGTTGTTGTTAAACCGAGTCCTGTAGCCCAGTGGTTAGAGCACTCACCTCGCAAACGAGAGACCTGGGTTCAATTCCCGGCAGGGCAAATCGATGGGCAAGTTTCCTTACACCACAAGCCTTTGTTTACCCAGCAGTAAGTAGGAACTTGGCTGTTAGTCAATTGGCGGATCATGTTTCCGGGGGTAATAATTGCTTTTTTAAAAAAAATTGGTCACTCAATCCACGACTGTTTGTGGAACATAACTGTGCGCCGCGTTTTGCCCACATAATATACAGTCAATTCACTTAACAGTATATTCTGTGAAGCGCTTTTAGACATCTCAAAGATATGCTAAGGCGCTATATCAAATGCAAGGATTATTATAATTATTATTGAACACACTCAAATTTGGCACAGTTGTGAACTAAAAGTACCAACTGATAGTACCGACAGTATTGACTCTGACAACCCAGTGCACTATTGGGGGAGCGCTACATTGTTGGAGGCACTATTCTTAGGATGATACTTCAACCAAGGCCTTGTTTGCCTGTTCAAGTAGACGTTAAAGATTCCCTGCCATGATTTGAAAAGAGAAGGGAGCTTCTGCACACACCTCCTCCACTACACACACACACATCCTCCACTAGACGCACACCCCCTCCACGACACACACACCACTATAGAAGGTTTCTCCCAACAAACCCCCAAATTAAATAAAATTGGATATTCACTTCCTAGCTGTTTGTGAGACATTACTGTGTGCACAAATTGGCCTATGGTATCATCTACAAATGTACAGTGATTACACTTCACAGTTAAAACCTGTGATGGGCTTTGAGACATCTTGACAATGTGATTAAGGTGCTATATCAAACTCAAGAATTATGAGCTGTCAAAACTACAATATGAGAATAAACCATTGCAATGAGTTCTTTGTAATGTTTAACATTAGATCACTGGCACAATCTGAGGCATTTGATTAGTGAAAATGGATGCTTAATAGGCAGAAATGAGATAAGAAGACATCTTAAAGAGCTTCAGAAGATTTACTGCCCACATTGGGACTTTGAACTCAGATGATCTAGACTGACCCTCCAATGCAATGCTGGGGCTGTGCTGCACCACTTGCCTCATTTGTCTACAAAATACAAAATCACTTTAGAATAAATCCTGTGAAGGACTTTGAGACATCCCTTCTGAAGTGGAAGGTTCTGTATAAATCTAAGGATTATTTTTTATTATTAATTAGCTCTGGAGGAGTGCAGAAGCTACGGTGGCAATGATATGTGAAGCTTCCTAGATTGCGTTGCTTAAGGAAATGCAAACCAAGAAAGCATAAATGTAAGACAGCTGGCAGTAAATCTGATAGGGAGTTCAGCATGAACTCCTTCACGCAGATGGTGATACGAATTTGGCACTTGCTCCCAGAAGCTATGGTAGAAGCAAAAAGCATCAATGTATTTAAGAGAAAAACATGATGCATATGTGAAGTGAAGGCAATAAAGGCCTATAAACTGGGCCAATAGAAAAGTGTGGCATCCGCTAAAACCCCTCCACTACAGACACACCCTCTCCACTACACATACACACACTCTCCACTACACACACCCCCTCCATTACACACACCCACCCCCTCCACTACACTCACACACACACCTTCCACTACACACACCCCCTCCACTACACACACTCCCTCCACTACACACCTCCTCTCCACTACGCACCCCCTTCCACTACACACACACACCTCCACTAGGTGGATTCCTGTAGTTCAGTGGTTAGAGCACTCACCTCTACACACACACACACCCTTCCACTACACGCACACACCCTCCACGACACACACACCCTCCACGATGCACACATCCTCCACTACACACACACCCTCCACGACACACACACCTTCCACTATACACACTCCGCTACAAACACACCCTCCATTACACACACACATTGCACTATCGTATTGTATACCTCACCTATAGGCAGAGTCTATTGGCCTGCCTATAGGTGAGGTATATAATATGATTTACATTTATAAAGCACCTGTCACATCAGGAAGATGTCTCAAAGTGGTTCACATCCTTGGATGGGCAGGAAGGGTGGAGGTTTGTATGAACTATAAACACCGGCATGGACTCATTATAATAATAATCCTTGCAATTGATAGACCACCTTATCATGTCGTTGAGACATCTGAAAGCGCTTCACAGAATATACTATAAAGTGAATTGACTATATATTTTGTAGGCCAAACGGTCTGTTTCCATGCCATATCACTCAATGTGAGATTTGATTCCATTTGTAAAGGTTAAGATGATATTTTTGCAGACTAATCTGTTGCCAGAAGTTAGTGTACACTGAGCTTTGCTCTTCCTTCCAAATAACTGGTCTGTGGCATGAACAAGCTATAAGGCTGCGACTGTAGTTTCCATTACAGAAAGTAAAACATTCTTACAACCACATTCATAACACACTTTTCACTACGTATCATATATTTTGTTTAAAAAAACAGATCTACAACTCTCAAGCTGTGCTCTAAAACTTTCCACAGAGCTTTGGCTCATGGTTTTTTTCCCAAAAAAAGTTTGCCTCGTTTCTGTGCCAAACTGTCAATTCAGGCAATTCAGAACTCTCGACAGAAATGTTTTGTTTGCTTTTGAGTTGTGTATTTTATTTTTATTTTCATTCTCTGCCAATTGTCTCCCGCCGACCCCCCTCCCCCCTGCACACACGCCCAGTTCTGATGAAGGGTCATGGACCCGAATCGTTGACTCACTTTCCTTTCTCCATAGATGCTGCCTGACCTGCTGAGTGTTCCCAGCGACTTCTGTTTTTATAAAGCTTATTGTTTGCTTGAGTAGATTTGAATTCCAATACTCAAAGAGCTGTAGGTGCGAATTAGGAGGGGAATTAATAGAAGATCTGTCACTGAGCACCCTGGAACTAGAGTCGGCTTCACAGTGGGCACATCTATTTGCTAAACCCTTTCACACGAGGACCTGGATTAAGCAGCTGGTGCTGAATAAACCTGATACACGGCATTGGACTTGGACCTTAAGGTGGCTGGCATGTCACAAGCTGTCCTGTAGAGGTCCTCCCACCACGCTGAAGGCTGATGCCCCACCTGATAGCTGTTGAGGAAACTCTGAGGCTTCGGGCAACAGCTACTGGAAGGCGTTACCTGGAGTCCGGGTTTGTTAACACACGTTCTTACATCCAGCACCTGGAATCCACCTTGAATGGCCTGCAGAGAGGCAACAGCTGCTGCTTAAACTTCGCACCTCAAATTAATGGAACCATAGTTCAATAGGAAGGGATGTGTGCCCAAGTTGCAGAGAGGAAGAGGGTGGTAATGCTCTCACATATTTCATGCTGAGATGTGTTGCCCACTGGGAAACTCACAGGGAGTTCCTTGTACCTACCATCCATCTAGTGAGGGTTCAAACCTGTGTTTGTTTTATTTGTTTCATTTCATATTTTCAGCATTTGCAGTATTTTGCTTACATTTGGCGTGTACTGACTGTTGTTAAATAGCCAAAAGTGGCATATAATTCACACCAGTAGTGTCTCACAAACAGCACTGAGATCAACACCCAAATTGTCTATTACTGAAGAAGGAAAATTGGCTGGGCTGGACTAACTCCCTGCATTCACTTCAAAATATTGCCATAGTAACTTTAACTTCTACTGTAACTGAAACACAAGAACAAGATCTAAATTTAGGATTTTAGCTGTTGGGTGACACATCCAACAATGTAGCACATCCTCAGGCCCTCACTGGAGTGTCATCCTAGATTATTTATAAATCTGATGTGGAGCCGAAACAAACAACCTTTGACCCACAGGCAAGATTTGCTACAAACTGAGCCAAACTGAAATTTGTTAGGAGTAACTTCAACCCTCGCTGTTTAGTATTCTGGTGATGAAGTGCTCATTTGGTGTTCATAAAGTTGATCTCCAATCCATCAATGTCTTTCAGGAGCTTCAGGAAATGCTAGAAAAACATAAGGCCAGAATGAAGCTTGGCTTAAAGCTCGAGCTGAGGAAAACGACAGAGAAAGACAAGAGCTCTGCAGACAAAAGGTAAGGTTAGAAGCTTAGTCCAGGGGCAATATGTTCTCATGAACTCTAGATGGATTTTCACACAGTGAGTTGTTCGAATCTGCAAAGCATTGTCTGAAAGGGTGGTGGAAGCCGACTCGATAACAACTTTTAAATGAGAAGTAGATAATTATTTGGGGACGACAAATTTGCAGGGTTATGGGGAGAGAGCGGGGGAGTGGGATTGATTTGGGTAGCTCTTTTCAAAGAACCAGAACAGACACGATGGGCCAAGTGGCCTCTTTCTGTGCTGTATAACTCTATGTTTCTATGATTTCCAACAAAGAGATAACTAAATACAGTTAATGTTACATTATTAAAATTTAGCCATGAATATGAGCCCCCTTAGGGGGCTACATTGGTTTGGACTAAATCAGCCGGCGGTGTAACATCATGGGTGACATTGTTGAAGTCCTGGTTCATGGAGACTTTGAGTTCATGGTTCAGGCTGACACTCCAGTACAGTGCTGGGGTGTTCTGCTTAGCTGGAGGTATTGTCCTTTGGATGAAACATTAAACTGAGGTTGTGCCTCCCTTTTCAAGTGGGTGTTGAAGAACCCCGTGGCAACAACAATAACAACAACTTCCATTTATATAGTGCTTAACAATAGTGTGGGCAGAGCCGGGGAGAAAGGGAAGATAATCTTTGGCACGGTAGAAGAGGAATGTCTTGAGTTGCTATCTGAAAATGGGCAGATAGGGCAAGCCAGAGGGTTTGAGGCAGAGTTCCAGAAATTCAGGACATAGTAGCTAAAAACATGGCCACTGATAATTGAGCGGAAGGGTTAAGGGGCACACAGAAGGCACAGTTGTCACTATTAAGTGGTACTGTTCAAAAAGGGAATGGAGTTTCTCCTGTCAGCAATCCTACAGTTAATTAATCCTCTGGAGCAGATATAACTAGGACATCTCCAAGAGCAGAATGTCCTACCATTATTACTGGCACTAATCATCACATCACACTCTGCCTTTCTCAAGCATTTATTGGAAAGAGAAAGAAAAGAAAGAATGCTAATGCAAGTGATGGGTCAGATAGTTTGCTTTCATTCAGGGATACTGATGGCTCACCTATTAATCTCCCGTATTCTCCCTCTTGCAGGCAGAGCTGTTGCAGGAACAAGGGAAGCTGCATGAAGAACAGAAAGACTTGCAGAAACGGAGCCAGCAGCTCCTCTCCATCATGCAGCAGTTTAAGGGCATGTGAGGAGTTGCTGCTGGATCCTGAGATTGAAATAGAACTAAAACTCCCAGACAAGGTGGAATTCTTTCCTCTTGCTAAGTCAGGCAGTCCATTTCTTTTCAGCAAATAGACAGACGATAAGTAACCCAATAACCCATTCTGCAAGTAACTGCAACCAAGAGTAGTTCATAATGATTACCTGAATAACAAGATTGCATTACTGGTTCACTTTGTTATACTGATTTAAACCATAATACTGAATGTATGATTTTTGTTGTAATATATATAATAATTCTACCGTATCTGTGTTTGTATAATTGTTAACCGATCTGATTTGGCAGCACTCTAGCTTCTGGGTTACAAGGATGTGGGTTCAAGCCACATGTCAGGGTCTTGGAGCTCATGGCTGACAGTTCAGATGACATGTTAAATCAAGGCCCTATCTGCCAGATGGGCATTAAAACACCAATGACACTATTCGAAAAGAAAAGGGAGATTTTTTTTCTCTCAGTGTCATGGCCAACAACTCGCTCCCCCTTAATAGATTGATCATTTCCCTCATATCTATGAGACATTGCTGTGTGCAAATTGGCTGTCAAGTTCATTACACGTGCATGATCACAATACAGAAAACTCTGTAGCACTGAGATACCTTGTCATGAGAATTTTTCTCATGACAAGGTATTGTTATCAAATGCAAGTATTATTATTGTTATTATTGTTATGGATGAGGCACTAAAACGTAAAATAATTAAAAGAACAGTGCTCAAACTTCAGGAACAGCTTTATTACTGTAACAATAACCCCAAAGTACTTAAAAGAAATACAAAAAACAATTTAAAATGAAACTAAAATGTTACCAGTACTTTCCATCACCTTTAGTTTCTCTCTTTCCATGCTCTCTCTTTCTGTCTCTTTCAAAATGTAGGGTTTAAAATAATTTCTACTGCTGTCTATGTATCTAACTCTCTTTTGCCAATTCTAACCTTCTTTCTGACTTTTCTGTATCTGAACCTTTGTGCTTCCTAGTCTGACTTTTAAGCTTTTCTACATTTCTAGCTTATTGTCTAATTTAGAAGATGAGAGCGACAATTTTTTAAATTGGCTTAAATTATTGGCTAAAAACTTACTAATCAAAAGCTAGTGATTGACAGTGGTCAATTTCTTAAAATCTTTAAAGTATTGGGAGTAAGAGTAGGAATAGGAGCCACAACCCAATTTACACATATATATTCTCAGATGCAGGGATAATCATTGGTTCTGGGAAGATGATTTAAATATAATAAGTATATATAATTTGGGGACATAAATAATGATAATTGCCTTTGATATAGTGCTGTTTCACACCATCAAGATGTCACAAGCCGTTCACAGAATCTACTGCAAATTGTAGTGACTGTGTATTTAATAATAATAATAACAATCGTTGCATTTGATACAGCGCTTTTCACATCTTCTAGACATCTCAAAGCGCTTCATAGAATATGCTGTAAAGTGAATTGACTGTATATTTGTGAGCGAAACGTGGAGGCCAGTCCGCACAGCAGTGTCCCACAAACAGTCATTGATTGAATGACCAAATTATTATTGCTTTTTCTTGAGAGATTATTATCCCCGGAAAAGCGATCCACCAATCGACTAACAACCAGGTTCCTACTTACTGCTGGGTAAACAGAGGTGCGTGGAGTAAGTAAACTTGCCCAACATTTCGCCCTGCCAGGAATAGAACCCAGGTCTCTCGCTTATGAGGCGATCTGCACACAAACATTACTAGGAACACAGAAGCATTCTTCTGGATTAGAAACACATGTGGACAATTCTGGAGAGCTAGCATCAGACACCACCCCATGTTTATCACCTCCGAACCAATGAGCTATCTGAGAAAGGACTTGTGATTTGCTGCAGGGAAGGTGAACTCGACCCATCCCACCATCCCCCCACCATCCAGTGGCAGTAATTCATCAAGAATTCGATGCCTTCTCAATAGACCGCTAGGAATCAGTTCTCTCCCCTGAGGCGATGTTTTAATGTGATCCACCCATATTTGTTGCTGAAACTTCAACCAGGAACATTAATTCCTTGCTCGTCTGCTGTGATGGAAGAAAGCAGATGATGGGTGAGATTTTAAAAAATCCTGTAACCATGCAGAGTGGCTTTATTTCTCTACCCATTATTTTAACACCGTTTTTAAGGGCAAAGCAAACCGATGCACTTTTGAACTAATACACTCAAGGTCCTTCTATGTCAGTGTCAAGTGACGTTAATAGTCGGAGAGTGAATTATATTTTGAACTTTCTTCAGGGATGCAGCTTTTTATTGTACATTATTGCCAGTCAGAAATATATTCACTTGTTACAAGAAGAACAATTGGGCCAGTCAAAGCTTTTATGTAACCTTTCATCCAGATACTTATTGACATTTGGCACTGTTTCACAGATGAATCTTTGCTGTGTGACACTTGGCTAGGTTTTGTATTAATTCCTAGCATTCCCTTTGAATGGCATGGGAAAATATTGTATTTTATATTCATTTTTATCATCTTGGTTTGCTGTGTTTTATCAATATGTCCTACCCGCATTTTTGTTTACAAAATCCAGATTTAGCAAGACAGAACATTTCAAAACTATTTCATGTAAGATCGTTTCATGTAAGATTTTCAGCTCCCAAATGACTTTGTGGATAATGCACCATCCTGTACAGTACTAGTTCATAATCACAGGGTCGAATCCTGCTTTATGTTGAGTTAACAGATCAGCAGATGAGGTGCTGCGATTGGCTTCAGTGCAGCGGAGTTGAGGGGGCAGGAGATCAGACTGAGTTCTTGCTCCCAGTCATTCTCCACAGATCTCTGATCTAAAGTACACGTGTCTGGATGAGGAGATGTTATCAAGGTGCTATGATAATGGAAATATTGGTAGAAAGCAGGTGACCTTTAAAATGAAGATGTAACCATTGAGGCATATTTTTGATCCCCTTATCTGTGGAGCAAACCATTTCTTGTTCCCAGTTATTGTGTGTCCTGAGAGATGGTGGAGGGGATAACTTGAAATAGGAATGTATTTGTTTTTTATAAAAAAGCAAGGGGCATTTCAAAACAAGTGTTGAACAGGGAAGTATAGTAGTCAACTTATGTTCATCTCGCTCTGAGTGAAAAGAGTGCGCAAATGTGGGCTGCCTGAAGAGCTAAAGAGAATAAATGATGGCTTGACGAAAGTCCTGCTCAACAGCGGAAGAAATGACAGTGTTAAAGCTCAAGGAATATTGGAAATGCAGCCAAACTCAACATGTAAAGAATCTGTATTTTGTTTACCCATTTTAGAATTAGGGAACTGCATTCACAAGACAACGCAGATGTTTAATCAGTGCAATAATCAGGGTGTTCAAAAAGTCCTGTTACCCACATGATGGTTTTTCTCCTGTGCACTGACCCAACAACTGAAACATGTGGAAGAATGTGATAATTGTATTTAGAAGTACTTAATTGTATTCAGTTTAACTGTATTTAGACGTTCAGAGGTTCGGTGTGAGCGCCATCATATTCATGGCAGATATTAATCTGTCACCATGTTTGGTGTTACATCTTCCATAACATGATGAGGTAAAATGCATCTCTGACAGCCTGTTTTAGCTCCTTTTATAATCTTGTATCGCTATTCTGTAATGGGGTAAGAGGGCTTTGTGGCCACCCTGGAGGGTTTTGCATGTGTAGGAATACGTAGGTAGGTAGCTAGGTAGGTAGGTAGGTAGGTAGGTGGGTGGATAGGTAGGTAGGTGGATGAGTGGGTGGGTAGGTAGGTAGGTAGGTAGGTAGCAAAACAGAGTGTAAATTGGGGGCGATAATGATTGGGCAACAATAATAAAAATGTTTCAACCCAGGCTCACAGATATTTTACCCTTAAGGTTCTTTTCACTGGACCTTTTTCTCTCAACTTCTGATAAGGCGCAGCTGGGCAAGAGCCAAGTCCAAGAGTGTGTGTTGGGTACTGCTGGAGTTTAATCAGTTAAAACAGTGGAGCTTGCCATTGAGAGCACTATCCGGCAAACTTCCCACTGCTTGTCCAGCCCCATTAGAGCTTTGGTTTGTAAGGGTATTAGGTGATGAATGGGAGTAGCCCCTGCTCCTTATTATTTATTAGTGCTATCTCATTTTAAAAGCATTTTGAAAATCTCTTTATTTCAAACAGGCTGCTATCTATTGCTTTATAGCAGAACTATAGTTTGACTCTTAGACTCAAAGAGTTACTGTCTTGGGTGAACTTTGCTGAACTGCTATATCAACTGATCTAGCCAGGTTCTGACATTCTCTCTGACTTAATTTAAGTAAAAATGAATGGGTTTATATACCGCTTGAAATATATTGCAATTGATGCTTCCTTTTTCTCAAAGAAATAAAACCAAAGCCCATTTAAGTTTACACACTTCTTAAGAGGTTTACGTATTCCTTTGAAGTTTGCAGCTGTTCATTAGTTTTATCTCTTCTGCCACTTTTTTACCATGAGTTCTGCTGCAAAGGCAGGCCAGCCTGTATCAGCAGAACTACATGACAAGTGCAGATTTTTCTGGGGCAAAACTTGACTATTACCTTCTTAACGTCAGCTCTCTCATTGCCTGTGTAGCGAGTTCTCTGTTGCAAAATGAATAGGCTCCAGAACAAATCAATAAGATGGTGTTCTGAACATTCAAAAACATGGGCAAAATCTTTTAAACTGGTTCTCCTCCCTCCCACCCTCACACACTTGTCATTATCTAAATCAGAGGTCCTGGAAACGCACAAGAAAACCTGGGAGCAATGTTGCGTTGCCTGATATTCAGGAATTTTCCCCAATCTCTGGTACTATTATTTCTGTGTTGGTTGGGTACCAGTTATTTCTAGGTAAAATCGGATATTTGCTTCATGGCTGTTTGTGGGACACTGCTGTGCTCTTTGGTTACCACATTCGCCTACAACATGCATAGTTACTATAATCCGTAATCTTTTTTTAATTGTTTGTGGATGATATTGTGCTGCTGCCGTACTCACCTGGGGACCTGTTGCATTGCACTCACCATCTTGAACACTGGGCCAATCGTTGGGACATGATGGTGAATGCACCCAAGTACGGAATCATGCTTCTGCACGCCTCAAGAGAAGACAACGAGGATATCAATTGGAAGATACAAGGAGC